AGAATGATGTAATAGCCACAAGCATATGCTCCAAATCCCACGATGCTATGATTTTTTTCTAGGGCGGGGGCCGGGAATACAATGAGACAATGATTGCAAATATAGCAGTACTTCAGGTGTATATGAAAAGCCTCCTAGTCCTTGTGTTTCTCAAAAAAATTATTAATTTTTAAATACTGCTAGTGAAGTTTCATGAAATGTCTGTACAGAAGGATCAACGTCATCCCACACCGCTGAAATTATTGGTAAACGTGCAAAAATGGAATCGAAAATGTGTTCCAGATGTCTGTTGTGTATCTGCATTGTATTTGCTGCCAAACAAGTCATCGTCTTCTAATAACACATCACAAACTGCTACATACCTATTTTGCCAAAGATCTGATTGTTATGATGACAGATATCACATAATCCTGCCCTGATTCACCTGTTACTGCTTTATGTACATTGCAGTATGGTTCTGTTTTTGAGGTTAAATGTTGCATAGACTATCCACTTGCATCATTTAGAATTTTAACATTAATTCCTTTTTTTTTTTTTCTTCTTCTTTAAATAAGTGTTACTGTTGCTATGCAGAATTTTCTTGTAGCACGTTAGCTGTACAAATGCGCAACAGGTCTTCTGTACAATACATTGGCACAGAAGCCAGTTGACATTCTAGGCAAGAAAGATGGAGGGACATGATGCTCCCTTTTCTGTCCTGGTGTTTTTTTTTGTTTTTTTTTAACTCTAGGATTCTTCTGACACTCAAACTATGCAGCAACTATCATTGCAAAAAAGCATTCCTGTTGTACTTTGAGTGCTCTTTCACAGCATACAACTGCATTTTTGGCCTGCTGGACTACATGTTATGTGGCCTGCTGTAATCTCCATCCATTGTGGGTAAAAAATTGAGGACCACAGACCACTAGTGATGGCTGTCAACGTTGGTAGAGGAATGCAGGCTGAAGCTGTCAGTTCACAACTGTGGAAGTAGCTATTTCTCTTTTTTTTTTCAGTGATTTGGGCGGACTCGGAGCTCTCACTCAAGAAACACTCTAATGTAGCTCCTGAGTGGAATATTATAATGGTTATGCAGAGAGGGGAACAGGGGGTGGGGATGGAGTAGCTAGGCCAGTACAGAAAGTAATTAGATACTCCCAGCAGAGGCGATGGCTAAGACATGCAAGGAGGAAGGGAGCTGCTCTAAGGAATTGACTCTCGTGGAGTAGTCAGATTTGCGCACAGGTTCAGAGGCACATTGCAATCAACAAAATTGGCTTCATGCAAAGATAAAATGCTGCAGGTAAACATTTAATGTACATTACTTTTTTCTGTGCGTTTACCTGCAAGTTTATAAGTTGATGACAGGGTCTCTTTAAGGGTTAATATCCTCTGTGTTTAAGATGTCATAATAAAACTTCTGTGTTTTAAAGATCCCAATCTTTGACATAGTGCAGTTCATAGGCAGTACTTGGGACAAGAGACCAGAAAATCTGTTATGTTTGTATTCAAAATGATATTATCTAATGCAAATCCCGCCTTTTGTTTGTACATCGGAGGGGCGTTTAAGGAGGTCACCTGCAGAGTGTGCGGCTGTGGGCTGTAACTGATTGCTGCCTTTTCCCACCTCCACTCTTTATACTTATCCTAGTCCTATAGGAAACCAAAACGAGACTTGAAACTCCTAAAGTGTAACTAAAGGGAAAACTTTTTTTTTCTGATTTGGATGGAATGGTGAGAGATTAAGTCCCATTGGTCTGTTATTATTGCTGACTGTTTGGAAATCTTCCAGTGGGGAAACTTGTTCCTGTGACAGCTGTCTAAAGGATGATTTTCCCTCCTATTGGAAAGATTTCCTCTCCCTTCCTGCTGAGTCTACATAACTAAAAGTGACAAGGAATATCCCTAATAAGACACACATGCTAAAAAGAACTCCTAATCTATCCTAAATGGAGAGAAAAAAAGATTGCATCTTTAGATATAGTTTAACCCTTGTTCTGATTTCCTTCAGGACTAGGAAGGGAGGAGGGAGTGGAGAGGACGCTTACTGGAGCAATCGCATCTTCCAGCATCCCTCTGCGTTTCCACCTACTTTGCATGGTGAATTTGTATCGCATAACTGAGGAGCAGCAGACATTTCTACAAACACAGACTCCTCTCCATGGCCCATTATGGACAAGAGCAAAACATACTGCTTTTTACAGACTGTGATTTAACAGATGCTTGGCAACTCTGGGGGCAGTACAGACCACAAAATCCGTTAGCAGTCTACCCCTCACAGGACTTGTAAATCCCGATTGACCCCCCGCATTGGGAGAGGTTTTGAGCTCAGCGCAAAGACAACATGTGCTCACTTCTTTCGTACTAGGTTTGGGGTTCTCGGGGCACACAAAGGGGGAATTTTCATAAGACAGTGGTATGCACCACCGCCTTGTGAGTCTGTTCTCCTGACATGGTCAGGTAATGTAAGATGAGAACTAGAAATTGTTTAGTATCTTCATTTGTGCATCAGCCATGATGATACATGTAGAGTGCTGCCCAAATTAAATTTTGTTCCATCTCTGGCCCGTTTCTGGTTTACTTTATTAGCAAGTAAGCTAATTTGATCTGACAGCAAGCACTGTGTGTAGGGAAATACCAAAATGCCAATACGGCTTCTCTCCATTAAATGTTTACCATATGTTGCAGATCATATTACACAAGTCTACATTAATCTTAATATCGTTCATGTATACAGGGACCATCTTCTGTACCTTGTGCCCTTCATTTCATTTTCCTTCTTAAGGAAAAAATTACATTTTTGCTCTTTATTCAATACTTCAGCAACCTTGATGGTTGGTAATGTGTGCTTTGACAATTACAGCACAAGGAAGCATTATTCTTTTTGTAAATAGTGCTCAGAGGATTGAACTTGTCATAGGTGAATGATTTACCTTCTCTGTCTAGCCTAGCTGTGTAAAGGCCAAAACTGTACTCCACCCACACTTAGTATTCATCTCTGCCATGCCTGAATGTAATGGACGCTACCTTTTCTTTTTATGGTTAGGCCAGCGGGTAGGACACGTATTTGTGCACAGCTATAATGGGTCCTTAATAACTCAAATGTTCTTTTTGAATGGTGAGTTCCGTGTGTCGTCCTCATCTGGTAATTCCCTGAGGGCCTAAAATCAACAGCCCATTTTTCCAAATATTCTGCAGCATGAGTTACCATGCTATTAGTCAGGACAAGATGTTTCTTGTTTTTATTTTCCTAATATAGACCTTACAAAGGTGAATACAATAGCAGTCAAAGATATCAAATACACCAGGCATTTTTTGTATAGGGGGACGAGGCCGTAATATACATTTGCAGTAAGTAATGCGTGTTGGAAAAAGACATGCAACTTCACATTTTATGGAGTAGAAGAGAAAGGTGAGGAGAACAAAGTAAAACATTGCAAGGAGGGAAGGACAAGCATATCTCTAGGCTGTCGAACAGTCTCGCAAAATCTTTCCTGTCTAAAATGACCCTGATGACACACCAAGCAGAGGCATCCAAGATTTAGTGAAATACTTTTTTTTTTTTAAAGGCCTAAGGCTGGTTTCACACCTAGGCATACGGAATATGCGGGTGTGCCGCACGTTTTTCCCGCCATTTTGCGGTAAAAGAAACACGCAAAAAATGCACGTTTCCGAGGGCTATCAGGCTGTATCCTAATGGATACGAGCGGCAAATACGCCCCAAAGAAGCTCCTGTACTTCTTTGGGCATAGGGCATTTTGCAGCGTGTTCCTACGCGCTGTAAAACGCCCAGGTGGGAACCATACCCATAGGCAATCATTGGTTTTCACATGTTGAGCGTTTTACAGCGCGTAGGAACGCGCTGTAAAACGCCCAAGTGTGAACCAGGCCTAATTCACACAGGGCATGTTGCCCCATACCGCATGAAGGGTAGGTTAATAATGCACCCGGAGCTGCAGGAAGAATTGAGCGGGCAAGTCATGTATCTCTATGGAGATGCAGAAGTTGTGCATCCTTGCACGATGCTTTAAAAAAGCAGGGAGTGTTGGCAGCCACACACAGATGGTATGTGGACCTGGATCCATCATGTCTGTGTCCAAGACCGTACACTGTCTGTGTGAAACTATCAAAACTTGGAGCTATGAAAAGCAGCGTGTAAGTGTGCACAGCTCCTGTGTTTACATAGAGTTAAATGAGCTGCCTGCAAGCTTCTTCCTGCAGCTCCAGGCACATCAACAACCAGCACTCCATGCTGTACGAAGCAACGCACCCCATGGGAATGAGGCCTAATGGAACGTCATCCAAAGGTACCATGTTTCCCAGAAGTCAGGATATCTGCCACATAGGCAGAAATTACCATCCTCATTGTTTACTCAGGAGAAACCACCAACTTAATGAATTAGGAGACTGTTGCAGGATTTGGCAACATTTTAAATAACTGGTTGAGCAGAGCTTGGGAGGGTTTTTTTCTTCCTGTGACTGTGGATAAGGTGAGGTTAGTAGAAAGCTGGTTCCTTAGGCAGAGTCACACAAGTGATATTATAGGCCCTTTGCCAAAACGTAATTTTGCTACAAGACCAAAATATTTGATGTTGGTGCCTTATTTACATTAGCAGCACCAACAGAATGAACAATATTATTGAGCAAGTCATTTTTTTTGTCTGTCCTCTTGATGGCAGTTACTGAAGGAAGTTTTATCAGCAAGTAAAAATCAGTCTGTCTTTCTGCCCAGTAGCAAATGTGAGTCCCAAATCTGATTCCAGTTCCAGATTTTTGGCTGCAGAGAAAGTAAGACAGGAGAAGTATGTAATGCATAACAGCACCCCGGGCCAAATTCTAAGGTCTGGAGGGGACGGGGACCTTTTAAAAGTGAGCAAATTGATAAGTCCTGAAGAATCAGTGATGGTGACATAGGACAGGGAGGGGAATAAGGTACTTCCCAGAAATATCCCTACCTAGACCAGACCTGAAAAATTGTGTGTATGTATGTATGTATGTATATGTGTATATATATATATTACAGGGGTGTGGAATTCGTGACGCGTAGTTCTGGGCGCCGGGCAAGTGGTTTTTGCACTGTTTTTTAGCCCTGCTACGGACAAGTAGCAGGGCTGGTTTTCTTTGAGCGCCGAGGGGGGCGTGGACGGCGCGGGGGGTCTCCCCAGTCGTGCCAGGCAGATTGCGTGTTTTCCTGCTGCAATACCGCCACGGGCGATCACGGTTGAAAACACTGCGCGGTGCATGTCGTGAAGATAGGTACATCTACCTTTTTTTAGTGATTTGCCACGCAGATGTAACCCCATACATGCTGATACAACCGCTGTATGCAACCGCACACGATCGCACGTTCTGGGAATCCCCAAGTCTGCACCAACCCTATTGTAAGAGACAGCTGTCTTGTTGTCCATCATGATCTTGACTTGTTGGTGCTGAAGTAGAGGTTGAAAAGCCCACAGAGCCAGACAGGCCGCCTTCAATTCCAACCAGTTGGACTGCACCAAGACCGGGCCTTCCCATCGACTCTGGATTTGCTTTAATATATCGGCCGCCGAAACATATCGCCCGAAAATGGCACTTTTGGCTGAATGCGGAAAGTGCCATTTTCATGCCGATACATCGCCGCATCCATGATTTCTTTCCTCCCCGCTGGGCGTTGCTCGGTGTACCAGCGGGGAGGAGAGAAAGTGACAGTCGGCCGAGCGCTGCGAGACAAGAGCGCTGCGAGCGGCCGGTGTCTCTCCACCCACAGCGCTCGACCGTCTATCACAGTGCTGCAGAGCGGTGTGAGGGCGGAGACAGTGCTGTCACAGGAGGCTGGGCTCTCCTCTCGCACCGCTCACTCAGCCTCCTGTGACAGCGTGTCAGAGAGGAGAGCAGACTACAAACACTCAGCAATCAGTGATCGCTGATTGTAGATAATTAAAATATTAAAATAAAAGCATTTTCGGTTTCGGCCTGACAATTTTTTCTATTTCGTTTTGGTTTTTAAATTTCTATTTCGGTGCACCTCTACTTCAAACTATAGGAAGTGACCAGACCTGCTATCAAGGATATGCAAGATTTGCATGAATTACCATTTTCTTTTTGGTGAAATGTATTTGCTCACTGTTGATTTTGAACAAAATGTATGTTCCCTCATGTAAAATGTAAATAAGAACGCAGTTTGAAAACACAATGGGTACACAGCAAAGACTATGATTGATGAGACTTGCAAAGACCTCTCACCACATAAGAGGATACCAGCACACCATACTTCGATGGTTCACCATCATCCTCTGGGCGCACACAGGGTATGCCTACATATTTTCAGACAGTCCCTTATGTGCATGCAAGCAACCTACAATGCAATGTTACATTTATGTATGCATAGAGCACCCAGAGTGACACCAAGCAACAGCTGCCTTTTTTTTCTAGAGCACGATTAAAAAAATTAAACAAAATTGGTTTTCATGAACCAGAAAAAAATGCATCTTATTTCAAGGTTTTCTAAATCAACCCTTCGAATTACTTGCTAAGCAAGCGTAGTGATTTCTTAAGCTAAATCTGTTTTTTTTTATTTTACTTCTGTTTAACAACCTTCTTCTTTTGTTTTACAGGTCCAGGAGCTGACAAAAGACCCTTTAAATGAAACCCTTTGCCAAAACTGCTGTCAGCAAGTGGACAGTGATACTGTTTACAGCTTAAGACCTTTTCATGAAACCTGCATCAATTTCCTTGCGTTACCAAGACTGTTAGCCGAAATCCTTTTAAGTCCTGTAAAGGTCCTTCCAGGATGTTTTCTCCTCTCATGCTCAAGTATGCAAAACCTTCTGCATGGAATGGGAACATGGATGGAAGAGTACAATATATTTCTTGTGAACACTGTGTAGTTATGCAGCGACGCGTGTCAACCATTTCATAGCTGGTGTAGTTGCCTTGCATCGCACCCCCCCCACCAGCTGTGATCAACCAAACCATCTCCATGCTGTTTATTTCTTTACTGGGTGTTGAATTGCATTTTTCTTTTTGTCTTTTCACCTTCATTTTAAAACTCTTGTGTGTTCCATTTCTTCATTTTGCTTGCAGAAATCCTCTGCTAGACCTCATATAAGCTAACAGTCGACCTAATACAAATTTCTACTGCCTGCTCCTTTGCGCCAAAAGGCACCACTTTCCAAGGAGAAACTCTATCATCACTTTAATTTCCGTTATAACCTACTTGTTTTTGATTTGAAGATGAGGAAATTCAGGGATAAATACAGGTGAAACTCGAAAAATTTGAATATCGTGCAAAAGTTCATTTATTTCACTAATGCAACTTAAAAGGTGAAACTAATATATGAGATAGACTCATTACATGCAAAGCAAGATAGTTCAAGCCGTGATTTGTCATAATTGTGATGATTATGGCTTACAGCTCATGAAAACCCCAAATCCACAATCTCAGAAAATTTTTGGCAGTGTGGGCAGGTGCCAAGTCCTGCTGAAAAATGAAGTCAGCATCCCCATAGAACTCGTCTGCGGAAGAAAGCATGAAGTGCTCCAAAATCTCCTGGTAGAAGGCTGAGTTGCATTAGTGAAATAAATTAACTTTTGCACGATATTCTAATTTTTCGAGTTTCACCTGTATGTTGCTGACATGGTACTACTTCCTGTCACCCAAATCAGTTGTATACTGCTGTATTTTACTAATATATCCTGAACAGTGGAGTTTATACCATTTGTTTTTTAAGCTGTATTTTCATGCTTGGTTTAGTTTTCAAGTGTTTCCCCCCCCCTTCAGGCTGATTGTAACAGAGAGAGTTTAAAACCCAACAGTCATAGCAGTGTCTTGGCAGTGCTGTGTAATCACAGAAACAGCCAGGATTACTGTACATGGGATGTTTGTACTGCACATTGCACTATATGGGTCTTCCATTACGTCACTTGGAATAGTCTGCCCTGCACATGGAAACCCTGGACAGCAGAGTGACACAACTGTCTAACCTTTTATTATGCTGTCCTATACTTGCTGAACCTGACCGGAGTATAGGACTTGGGGTTGTTTCATGTCACACTATTATCTGCAAGAGATAGAACAGTGGTGCTGAAAGGGCCCTTCCATTATATTCTTTGGCATGTCTGATATTCTAAACTGATTTTATTCGTCTTTACTTTTTTTTTGAGGGGTGGAGTGTGAACAAACATCAATGGTACAATATTGCAGCTTGATATATAGAATACAGAAAGTATTGATTTGCAACTATATACATTCTGTATTTTTGATGTATGAAAACTTTCCTTTACATTATGGCATTATGACTATAAATATATTTTGTTATGTACAGAGATAACTCATTATGCATGGGTCTTAGGAAACAGAAGCAAAGTAGCATTTTTTGGGTTATTTTTTTTTTTTTTATTTAAATGTTAAGCGCATGCTTTCCTATGGTGTCCTATTCCCCATCGGAAACATGAACTTCTTCTTTTGCCCCACTACTGATACAGCCATTTGTGTAATTCCTCTCAACCTTCGACTCCCCTGGCATTTCACTGGTGAGGTTAGAGCTTTATGATAGAAGGAATCCCAGAATCTTTGTACTGTAGCCATTATGTCTGTTTTTTCATCACAACCCTTTGTCAGTCCGTACTGCAAAGCTTGTGATTTGTGATTTTGCCCAATATACCTATTGTTGTACTATAATAAAATGTAGCATCATTTTATGTCATCAGCACACCTCAGTATTGTCCTAGGTGGATAGTTTATCCTAAAAAAATGATCCTTAAACAACAAACCCTGAAAGCAGACTTCAGGGACTCAAGAAGTAAATTAACTATTTGCACCCATGATGATTGTAGCAGCGGCTGCCATCTCCTTTATTCTTACCAGAGGGCATAGAGGTGCGTGATGGCTTTATCCGACACATTACTAACTGTGAATTGATTGAAGAACACCTCGTAGTGTCTCTACTGTTATACTGAACAAAGTGGAATCTCCAGAGTGTCAGCATTTTGTAATCTACACTTTTCATTCTCTTTTTGCTAATCCAACAGATACAAAGTTTCCTGTTCAAACTTCAGGCTTTATGGTGTATGCTGTAGAATAACACCCATTGGTTAATTCAAATCAGTTGTATGGTCAACTAAAATGTAATAAAAATTCTGTGATAATGTCCGAAAGCTCTGAGATATATCAGAGCTTTGAGTAGCAAGACATTACATTCTTCTTCTCTTTTCATCATTGTTACAGTTTCATAAAACCTCGCTGGCCCCACAGCTCTACTGTACAATGGCTTCGAAAAATATAAATAAATGTGAATGGTATATTTTATAATAAGGTGCAGATATGTCTCCGGTGCCCCTCTGAGACAACAATTCCTGGCATTCAATCTTGTGGCTCTGCTTTGGTGTATAAGCATTTTTGTGGTCAGCAACTATTCTGCTGTGAAAGCAGCATTGGGCACTATTAGGAAAGCTCAATCACTTAAATAGTTGGGGTGTTCCTGACCTATGTATTGTGCAAGTGTACACCTCTCATGCAAACTTCCTCTTCCAGTGCATTTGATGTGATTGGTGTCACACTCTGTAGTCCAGGAACTTATGGGTGTGTCCTTGATGGCCAGGGCAACTGAGGTCCAGGAAACTAAACACCGCAATGCCACCCTAAGGCTTCCTGTGGAGGCAGCAAAGGGTTATGGCTAGGGAGTGCCAGATTAAAAACCTGGCAACACTATAGCTGGAAGACCTTTTATGACTGCATGTCTTTCTGGAGTTTAGCTTTTTATTTTACACATTAAGAAACTAAATTTTGCCATAAAATGTATAGTGATTAAACACAGCTCACTGCTAAGTGAATGGCAGCATAACCCTTACAAATAAAAGGACTTCACCAGCTTGACATAAAAATAAGAACCAGATTCATCAGCAAAGGAAAGTTTTCAGGCATTTCTAGCGCTCTGTTTATTTGTCACTTTACATAAAACAATGCCCTGTATGAAGTTCATATCAGTCATATCGCATATCTATGTTTTGTGCTCCTGGCTGAAGCACGCAATACCGATTTGGATTGCTTAATATTTGTTTAACCCCTTAAGGACCAATGCCGGAATTATTCCATCATGGTTGTCCGTTCCATAAGGACCCATGACGGAATAATTCCGTCATGGGTCTTACAAGGTTTAAGCTTCCCTCCTGCGCTAAATGAGAACTTGTATATGCATATGTCTCATCGAATTAAAGCTCTTTTTGTCCTTTACAAAACAGTGTATAATATGTGTTGGTGCAATAAATGAGAAAGGTGAAAATTGAGGTTGAACACACACAGCAATAATATTGCTTTGGTCCTTAACTGAAATACAAGCATCTGAAGCTTGGTCGGTAAGGGGACAAGATCCCCACATAAGGCTCCCAAATGGAAGGATATTCATCCACTGTTTTTAATAAGATAGTGTAAAGCATTAGGATGTGCGAAGTGCAGGAAGTGGCACCAAACTAGGTATACATTTACAGAGTCAGATCATATTAAAAGTAGGATTTCTGGATGGTTGCTGTGAGTTAATTCACTTTGCATATCCTCATTGTTCTCCACTTCTCTATTGAATAACCCCAATAAAACTTTTTTTTTTTTTGAGGTCCTGGGGGAAATGCAAGGGACAACTGGAGACATCCTTTAATTGTTTATGATTATTTGTAGAACAACTTGCGTTATTTTAAGTGAACCCCTTTTGTTTAATATGGTACTAAAAGTTGTACTATTTTACAGGGTGTCAGCGTTTTTATGGTACTGCTGTCAATGATTCGTACAGATAACATACGAGACGTGTGCTCCTTCCTTCACTGTAAGGCTAATTGGACCCGTGTCATCAATATTGCTAAAAATGAGCTTCTTCCAACTAAAACTCCAACATTATCAAATGACTATTTATGCAACTTAGCTGATCACTTTTCTTTTAATATCTGATATTTTCCAGTACGCTGTTGACTTTCTGTAACTAATGATTGAGATTTTGCCACTCTTAAAACAACTTTAAAGTGACACTAAACTCAGGAGTTCATTCCTAAAAATACATTCATGTACCTTAACTATATATGTATAAATGTTAAAATAAATAAAATCTTATTTGTGTATCACTCGGCTGTAGATCCTCAAATCATCTCTGAATTGGTGCTGACACTGTCTTTTCTTCTGGAGGGTGGCTACTTTTGTTCCCCATGGTCCCTGTGTGTGTTGTAAAGTAGTCACCTCTCCAAGCTCACTCCCGTGATCGGATCAATCACAATACAAATTATTAAATTAAATGTGAGATTGTAGTCCATTACGTGAGCGAGCTTGGAGTGGTGGCTACTTGACACACACAGGGACTATTGGGGACAAAAGTAGCCACCCTCCAGAAGAAAGGTCAGTCTCGGCACAAATTCAGAGATGATTTGAGAATCAACAGCCGAGTGATACACAAATAAGAGACATTTTTGGGTACTTTAATGTATTTTTAAGATATTTAACTCCTGGGTTTAGTGTCACTTTAATTATTTCTGCACCAAACTTGTGTCTTGGGTAATCCTCGAACAGGTGTGGGCACTCCAGCTGTGTTGAATCTACACATCCCGGCTGTCAGCCTTGCAATGACTCATGGGACTTGTAGTTTTTACAACAGCTGGAGTGCTGAGGTTGCCTACGCCTGCTCTAGAATCTTGGTCACAGCGCATAAAAATGACCTTGTGTTTGCCTGGTGTAACAGGTCACCCTTGGCCTCGGAGTGTAAATCTTGGGGATCACCACTTCTGTGTCAGACTAATTGTCATGTTTGTAATGTTTACAAGAAGGATTCCTTTAGTGATGGTGGTTTGTGCTGCTTGCAGTGGAGCCTCTTCAGTATCTACATCACAGCAGGGCCCGTTTTTCTGTGTACCATTGTTCCCTACATTTACAGTCCTCTTAGTTCTAAAGGGATCAGGAGGAGGACTTGGTGGTGCTTGTCAGTATTTATATTATGTGGATTTAAATGCTTTGCATTATTGTAATATAGCAGAAATCCCTCTAGTAAACAATGCTGAACAATGAACAGTCTGTGATTCTTGACACGTGTATATATTTGGTTACATCTAAGCCGTAGCAGCTGCAAAGTATAGCAATGCTCGGCTACAAAGTGGAACCAAATGTATTCGGCATCAGGAAGCTGCTTGTCATTTGTGCTGCTCATGGAATTTTTGTTCTTAATGGTGCTGTAATGGGGTGCTGAAATCTCCTTTACTGGAATCCATACATATGGAAGTC